TTGGCATCTCGGCGATAGGTTGTGACAGTAACAAATAAAAAAAATATGCCTTCATAAATTGCAGGCGCTTTGAAGGTTGCGCGCAACGGAGCATTGAAAAACTCGAGAAAATGATGTCTTGCCGTCAGGGCATTTTGCATGTACGTTACGTTATGCGGCTGCAGAGCACACCCGATACGCAACAGGTCACGTTCCGGTGAGTTGCTATCGAACATCTTGACATTTCAGAGTAAATACGTTCCACTCCAACCCCCCCCGCCCTCGTCAAAGAAAGGAGTCAGTCCAGTGGCATTTGTTTTGAGTTGTCTGGGGCACGCGGTAAAGGCGCAGCCCCTGAAAGTGCCCGATTCCGCCGCTGCAGGCGCAAGCAACATCCTCCACTGGAGGGTTTTTTTTCCATCTCTTCCACACTCGCCAATAATGTAGGAGGTGATCGTACCTACACCTTGCCCCACCGCGCGTGACCTAACCCTTCTATAATTGTGGTGTAGCTATTTATGTTAAACTGCTGGGCGGACACGGGTTGGCTATGGGGGTGGGGGGTGGGAGAGGTGTGGATCGGCCAGTCATCTCAGTCAACCCATGACACCTGGGTCTGTCCCGTGACCTCCTGCCAGTGGCCTTTGACACTTGAAGTGGCCTTAAAGTGCACCTAGCATGGCACAAGCGCCGTGGCGACGTCACCGGCACTTAGTCGTGAATGGCGGTTGTTGTTGTTAAAGTAATTAAGAACCTTTCTCTGGCAGCAGGACCCGCACCTCCGATTAGCATAGTTGGCCACGGACGGTGCGAAATAAGTTCAACATACATACAAACATGCTTACATACAGAATCCAAATGCTGTCGTGGTCACATGGGGTCCAGGCTATCCTGCCATCGATGGCAGGACCCCTTTTGGGGGCAAAAGGTCATCGAGGTCGTAACAAGGGACAGGACAATTGTATTGCTTTAAGTGCCCTTCTGGCCATAAACCAATGCAGCCTTCTTTTGCCATTATTCCCTGCTGTCTGTCTCCCGGCGGCAAAAACCCCCCATTGTGCACTACCACCGGAGTGAACTCTTGTCCAATCGATGACCTCACTCGTGAACACGCACTCGCACGTTCGGCGGTTCTCTTTTTTTCTCGATCAGCTGCTAGATGATGGCATCCCCCACGCATCGCCGGGCACAGGCACGGTGAGGCATGAGAGCTGGGCATGGGGGAGGTTCTCCATCCACGCTTTTGAGATATTTCAATCGTACTTCGTCACGTTGATGAAGGCGTGAAGTGTAGACCGGAGCAGGGCACACGTACGGCCCGGTTCGTGACTCCATCGCTAAATGGGCGCTTCCCCACGCCTTGCAGGCCATGATGGGTATTTTACCATATTTCACCACGCTGGTAAGTGTGGGTTGGTGAAGGTGAGCGGTGCCGGGGCGGGGGAAAGTGGATTTTGCTGCATTGTCCTCGACTGTCTTTTGCACATAATTGTGGTGGTCACCTGTGCAAGCGCTTTCCAGGCTGAAACCTGCTTGGCTTACGACGTGTGACGAGATCGGGCACATTCCTCGTGATCTGGCCACGGGCACTCTCATTAGCGGCTGAATGTGCCCCTTCGCCCGACCGGTAGGAATTCCATTCCCGGTGACGACGATTGCCCCGCGATAACGTTTCTGCAAGAGAAATCTTCGCCACTTTCTTTCAGGGTTATGTAATTTCCAGTAATTTTAACTCGAAAGCTGTCCGTGTTCACTTCGAGTGCAATCTGTTAATGGGGGAAGGGCGGGGGGAGCTTGACCTCTCAACCCTTAATAAGGAACAAAGATGTAGTTAAAAAAGAAGAGACGATAACCGCTTCGGCTGATTTTTTTCTTAAGCCTGTTGCTCGTTATCTGATTGGCCTTTGGCCACGGCACCGAGACTTGTGGTCTAAGGACAAAGAATACAGCAGTGTTGCTGTGTCTGCGCTAAAAAAAAAAAATTATCTCCCGTATGTTTCTTGAGATATTATCGTGTGCCTCGTCTGATGTGGCGCCCAGATTACTGGGGCCAAAAACAAGAGAAGGGGAGGGCGGGGGGGCCCTGATTTGGAGGAAGCAAAAAGAAATCGTTTGGCACCGGCCCACCGTAGTGTTTGTCAAACCGTGCGGCCCCATTTCACGTTTGAACGACCTCAAGGCTGCGCGCGTTCAGCGACGCCGGAGGAAATTAACAGCAAATGACCGAAGTGGTGCCACATTTTCGGAGAGATGCGAAACGGCGAACATGGGGTTCATAAAGTGCACGTTCACAATTGAATTGAATTTTGATTTAAAGCTTTCGTGACTGCAGGGATTCATATTCTTGGTTCTTTCGGTAAAGTCACCACGTAGAAGGGAAACGATAAAATAATAAAAATATAAAACAATACAATTCTCACGACGTTTCGACTGCAACACAAGCAGTCATCATCAGGTGTGAAAACCACACGTCAGGTGTGAAAACCACACAGGGTGTGAAAACCACACCTGATGATGATTGCTTGTGTTGCAGTCGAAACGTCGTGAGAATTTTATTGTTTCATATTTTATTTTATTTTTGTATTTTATTGTTTCCCTTCTACGTGACTTTACCGAAAGAACGAAGAATATGAATTTAATTGAAACTTCACTGTAAGGCCACACTCGGCATTCGCGCCATCCTTATAACACGAAGCAATCGAATAGCCGCACGTGTTTCACAGACAAGTATAGTCTGCCGGTAGGGGGGTGATTGCGCCATGTGGTTGAGCCCAATTAAGTCATTTGCCGGTCACTTTTAACAACCGCTTTGGAGGCGCAACGTCTTTTATGGTCAATCCACTCGCAGTGTTTAGAATCAGAATATTTATACTGGAGGAGTAATCCGATGAGCTATAAAGCTATTTTCCACAGACATCCAGTCGGGGCAGGTCAGAACGTTACAACAACAAACAATAAAAAAACACGACAGGAATGTAAAGTATAGGAAAGGTAAACAAATATCTGAAAAAATATACAAATGAAACGAAACGATGTTTTGTTTTATATCTTACCTCGATGAAGCCCACTGAGCTTTTTCGAAAGCGACCTCGCCACAAATTGATACCCCAACGAGGCGAGCTCATCACGTGGAAATTGTCAGGCGGCAAAGTAAAAAAAAAATTCCACCCGGGTGTGACCACGGGGCTCGAATCGCGAACCTCTGCAGCAGACGACAAAAAAAAAACACCGCTCGATCACTCGGCCAGGTCACCGCTCATTTCTCCCAGGAAATCATCGGCATGTTTCATTTTCATATGATTGTTTTTTTTTGCCTTCATTTGAGGGCGGTTGGGTGGCAGGGAAGAAAACAAAGTTCCCAGAGAGATAGAAAAACCCCATGCATACGAGGAGGGTAACACAGAATGAATTCGCCCACACGGATTCAGCCCTCGGCTTTACCGCCATCTCCTGGCAACTTCCCAGATTTGTGCGCATCGCAAGTATCAAAGAAGATGACGTAAAAGCACAGACGTGTGTCACAAAAAATATAATATAAAAAATTATATATTTTTTTATATATATTTTTTGTTCCTGGGTAGTAAGTAGTAAGTGGGTAGTAAGTGTTATTTCGTAATTGCTAATGCCTCAAAAGTACAGAAAATGGCTATTATTCCCCACAAACTTTGCTTACGTGACCAGGACAGTGATATTTTGAAATTTACGTGTGCATTTGTGTCATTCCTTAACGTAAAGTCCTGGTCACAAAAGCAAAGTTTGTGGGGAATAATAGCCATTTTCTGTACTTTTTATGCATAAGCAATAAAATGACACCATTCTTCTGTTAACATTTATTGTAACATTTTCTGAAACTGTGGTTTACGCTCATGCGTTGAACACCGCAATCTGGTTGCAACATCTATAATAATAATAAAGGACTTCCAATCGTTTTATTCTTAACAAAATACAAATCGTGCTGTAAAAAATCGCAACAAATGCCGGCGTTCGTTTCTGCAGTAACTTCCATTACACGGGGGTTCTGTGTGACGCCACCGCTAAGTGGCTTGGCTGGGGGAGGAAAAGGGGGCCTTTGTTTGCATCCACAGGATTTTGCTCACCATTCGATTTTAACGTTTGGGTCTCGTTCCCCATCAGCCCTTAACGGGGCTGCGCTTTCTGCTTTGAAGTGGCAGCCGCGGCGCCCGGAAATTATTAAACGTGGCGACGATTTGGGAACAGTCCCTTGTATGAACAGGCGAGTGCGGCCCTAGATAGGTTTTGGATGCCAAAAAAATGTTTTACCCAGGTCACGATTCACAACCACCACTCCGGCTATGAGGGTGAAAATCGCTCGTCTGTACGACTGTGCAGCGATGGTGTTTGTGTGTATGTATGTGGGGAGGGAGGGAGAGTGAATGGGAGCAGTGGTTCGTGCACTCCGCTCAGAAACCAGCGGACCCAAGTTCGACTCCAAGCCACAGCTAATATCAGGAGCGAGTGATTTCTGAACTGCTCGTGGGCCCCCGGTAGTTCAACTGAAGTCTTAAGTGAGCACCTGCCGCGGTGTCTAAAGACATCAACACGGGGGACGGAAAGGCGGCCAGAAGCGTGGTACTGGCCGCAACCACCGCCTCTTGCACGCCGTGCTGGGCATTTATAAATTCTCACAGCGCTTGCCCCAACAGTCTAGCAAGACTGTCGGCGTTGGGTGACCATACTCTACCACCAGGGAGGATACCCACCAATGCTTTAGATATCTCTGAACGTTAGAGCCGTGCATGGGAATTGAACTCGGGTCCCCGGGTTTATGGCGCGTTGCCGTGACCGGGCGCGGCGCCATCCTATGCAAGGGCGACGTGACGGTACAATCCACGTCTCGGTTGTTGATGTTGTTTTTGAGCGGTGCTTGGCACGGTGCTGGCCACCCCACCCGCCTTGCGTGCCGTGCCGGCCTTCACAGGTGCTTCTCGCTAACAGCACTTGCCCCAACAGTCTGCTAAGGCGACACGGGGTGGACCTTTGTCTTTGTTGTTTTTGAGCAGTGTTTGGCAAGGGTCAGGCGACGACCGGCCACTACCGGATGCTGGCGAAGCGCGGCGGCTTCGCGTGGGTGGAGACACAGGCCACGGTCATCTACAGCCCGCGCAACGCACAGCCGCAGTGCGTGGTGTGCGTCAACTACGTGCTCAGGTAGCCACCACCACCACCATCCCCCACCCCCGCCCCACGCGCGGCGATGAATTAAAACATTTTCGGGGGATAGGTAACGTTGCGAAGGTCGCTCGTTTTTTTGTCGGGAAGCGAAGCGGATTGCTCGCCACGTTACGCTTGCAGGGCACTGTGTCACTAATATATATCCAGGGCAAAAGTTGTGCTTCGTTTCGTATTTATTTTATTCGTTCGAAAATGTGATATTGTTACAAAAATCGTTGCTGATCCACAACGGGCCGGCTAAAAAATTCACGGAGGGGGGGGGGGGGTTGGGGGAGGGGGACATCATTTGCACGACGGCTCGCGCACCTGGCTGCCTCGCTTGCGCTACGAATCCGGCAGCACGCGTTTGGGACTCCCCGCCACGGCTGACGCGAGCGGCGAGCGACATCCGCCGCGGGTCCCCGGCGCTGCACGTTCCGACGTGACCCTTTGTGCCGTCGGCGCGACCGTCTCTTCCCCCCCCTGCGCAGCGGCGTGGAGGAGACCGGCACGGTGCTGTCGCTGGAGCAAACGGAGCGGCTGCTGAAGACTCGGCCCGGCGATTCGTCGCCGCCGTCGTCACCATGCGCCAACCTCGGCGGCATCGTTGGCGCCGCGACGATGGGCGAGTCGCTCTTCATTAAGCTCAAGGAGGAGCCGGACGAGCTGGCGCTCATCGCCCCCACGGCCGGCGACGAGGTCATCAGCCTGAACTTCGGACTCGGCCGTGAGTTGCCCCGTCCCCGGCACCGTCCAGGCTACCAAGAGCTCTGCTTGGCTTACCGAGCCCCGGTGGGAGAACGACACCGGCGGCTTTGGCCGAACTCTTCGTAGAAATAAGAGTCGGTCGTCCGTTGGGCTCCTCTCGCACCGTACGTAGCCATCCGCGTACAAAACGCGGTAAACTAATTGCAAGTGGACACTTTGAGCGGGCGCTGCCGGTGCGCGGCCGAGCCGAGCCGAGCCGACGAGACTCGGACCACCGCAGATGAACGGCGCGGATGTGGAACCCACGGCCCAGCCCACGTTTCGGTTTACCACACGTTTGGCAAAAACACCTGCTGCAAATATATAAAGTTGAGTTAATTCTCCCGGCAAGGCAGTACCCCCCCCTCCCCCCTCACTCGCCTCCCTGCCTCCCACTTGTGCGCACTCAGCGACATAAATGGGTACGAAACAGTGAGCTGATTGGCATGTCCTGTGTGGCAGGCTTTTCTGGGTGTACAAACAAAATAGTAAAAATAAAATATACTTATCGAAAACCCTAAGAGTAATGGGAGAAACGTCTCAATCCATGCTGCACAGCTCCCTTGTTTAATCCTCATGGACGGATCTTTTTTGCCACGAAGTGAAGAGCCATATTTTAGCGTGATGCATTGTGTGCCATCACTCGGGTCCAGGATTAGACTTACCAACGCCCTGCACTTGACAACCCAGTTTAATCACGGGGAGCCGACACCCAGACTCAAACCCGGGATCTCAGCTGTGCCAGCTTAGTGTCTCTTGACCTCTGGGCCACCCAGCCCAACTCTGGGGCTTTAAATTTAGCCGTGATGGGTGTGGACGTGTGGCGTGGTTGTAGATCCGTATCTAGCTGTGGCACGGACAGGATCCTGAGAACAGAGAGGGCATGGTCGGGCTGTCTTAGGCGTAGGTCAGCTTTTGTTTTTTCCCCCCTCGCGTAGATTGAAGTTGCATAAGACTAGGACACTAATCAAGCACAACTACAAGCATACGCTCTTGGGGATTATCTCATTGTCCCATCTGGAGTTGATTTGACCGAGTGCCTATCCCATTCCTCTCGAGCTACCGTGGTGCGCCTCGCCAAGTTCCCCGAACGTCGCATCATTATCCTCGTCATTATCCATGGCTAATCCGCTGCTGCTGCTGGATGAAGGGCTCCAAAAGCCGCCGACGTTTGTGACGATCCTACGATGTTAATGATCCACGCAGCACCTTGGACGTGAGTCGATTCCACAGCTCCATCTTCTCGGTGGATGTCCCACCACACACGGTTCCATTTCCTGGCCACCACTCCGTCATTATTCTGGGCCATCGTGCCTTCCAGTGACACGTCCTGCCCAGGCCCCACTCTCTTTTACCAAACGATCTCCACATTTGGAATCAGCATCACGCGTTTCGAGCATTTGGCTGCTCTAAACGTGCACGTGATGAGCCACTTTGTTGCGCTATCATTTGTGGCCAGGTCGCTTCTGAAGAAAAAAAAAAGCTACATAACTCAGTGGGCCTTACCTGGTTAAAAAACAAACAAAAAATTTAGTAGTTAAATAGCTTGCGGGGCTGTATGAACGTGAACCCCCACAGATCGCTGCGGCGGTGGCGGTGGCCTGCAGCATCCGCCGTCGTACTCGGACCTCTCTCTCTACGACGACGTGGCACTGCCCAGCCCCGAGCGGGGGGACCGCGAGCCTCCGCTCGGGTTGCCCCTCACTCCGCCGATGGCCGCCCAGCGGGAGCCGTGCCCGCCCCGCGACTCTGCCTCCGCCGCCTTCTTCTGCGACGCGCGAGTGCCGCAGCCTTCCGCCAACCGGCGCCAGGATGGCGCTGGCAAAACGGTGATGATGATGATGATGATCCGACGGTGATAATGATGATGCGACGGTGATGTTGATGTGATGACGAGGGTAGATTATGCAATTGCTTCTGGGTTGTGCCGCGCGTTGTTCGCCATCATCTCCAAAGTTTGGTTTTCGCTCCAACGTCCTGGGGCTAATTTTGATTCGAGGTGTGTCGTGTTGATTATCGGTTTATTATTTTTATTTGAACCCACGTCCTCGTCTAACAGCATCTCTCCACCTGAGCGAGCACGTTGTGTCAATAGTTGTCAGTCAATTTCATTCTCAGCGGGAATTCAGAGAGTATGCATGTAGAACTTATTTCGCGCTGAACGTAGCCAACGGTGCTATTGGGTGGAGGAGCTACCGGGGCTGGTGGAAGGGGCCCTGGTTCACGTCCTGCGCCACAAACCCCCACGATTTTGATTTCGATTCCCGGCCATGGCAATCGGCGTGAGTGTGGCGAGCGATGTCTGAACCAGTCTTGATGGTCCCACCTTTGTGAACCCACACTCGCCAGCGTGGTGAGTGTGGGTAAAACAACCCCCCCCCCCCACCCCCTTCTGACCTGGCATGGGATAGAGGCCTTCGGCATTGGGTTGACGGAAGGGCTTTGCGTCACATGTACCAATGTGGAACTTCTTTCGCGCCGTACGTAGCCAACCGTGCGAATCGGAGGCGAGGCATTCTACTGCCCAATTCAGGCTCGCTTGCGGGTTCTCTCCTCGTTCCGAGAATGGCGCTCTCCCTCCCCTTCCCCCTTAGAGGAAGATCAGAGCCCCTGCGCCTCGCATTTCTCAGACGAGGTGTTGCGCGGCCTCAGGCACGCCCGGACGATTAGCGCCCCGCGTCTTTTATTTGAGGAACGAGAGAGGAGAGCGGCGAGTTCTCTGCCGCATCGCGATCGATGCGAGCGAACGCGGCCGTTGTTTTTTTGTCGCCACCATGGATCGGAACCTCGCCCCCCCCACCACCCCCCTCCATCCCCCGCACCCCCACACCCCCCCCAAAACCCCCCACACCTCTCACACGTGCAGGGGACCTCCGTGCTTCGGTGTTAGCGATCAGGGATTGACCCGAAAGGGCCGTACATGGGACGGGATGATTGGATTAACGTGACGACGTACATCCTCCTACTTTATTGTGTTTTATTTTATCAGCTGCACCGTTGCGTGCTGGCAGTTGACGCGATGGGCGAGGATTATTTTTGTTTGTTTTTTATTCCCCTTGCCTCGGTCCACCCAGCAGCGGTAAAAATAGTGGACAGCGCAGGAGATCAGCAGGTTGCGTGCGGTGGGGTAAAGTGTGGGCACTCCCGCTGCTTGCAAGACATCTGACGAGGCTTCCAACAGTCGGCCAAAACACCCTCGAGTGGGGCTGCAGATCTCTCGCGAGTGGAGGCCCCTTTCAGCCGGCAGTGGCGTGAGCAAGACATTGCAGGGCTGCGCCTTCATCGAACACGATTAATAATTTACAACCTATAGTAATAGGTTTTTACCCCTTTTATCTGGCACCAAAACTGACACCTTTTACTATATCTTGCTACTGGCAAAGGAGGTCTCATAATGTAAATGCTTACCCCGAGCTCTCAATACTCTGATAGTGCGCTGTTTTTGAGTTGTACGCCTTTTGGCGTCATCTGGTCCAACACCAGTGGAGACTATGCTCTAAGAAAAGCCGTCTCGGGTGTGGCCCAATCAATTTCAAGGACAGTGCATATCATTATCAGAGTTGTCTCTTTTTGTTTGCATTTTGACTGCTTGTGTTGTGGTTATTGCAAACATGATCCTTTGTATAAAGGTGTCAGTTTTGGTGCCAGAAAAAAAGGGTAAAAACCTATTACTATATCTTGCTACTGGCAAAGGAGGTCTCATAATGTAAATAAAATTTACAACCTGTACGTCAATCAACTGGTGGATGACGATCCGGTCAAGAATATCTGAATACAAACCCACCACGTTCATTAAATTAGATTCTGCACTTCATTTCGATAATTTCCGGCTTTGAGAATTAAAAATATATAATCAGTTTATCATGCATTGAACATTTCTCCCTTGTAGGGCGGGTGGGAAAGTGATACCCACTAGTGTGTGAATCGGAGATCACTTGAAGGGATCCCAGACGTGGTATGCCACCAATAGTACAGCAACAAAAACATTGGGCTGTGAATGAACATTTTCTTCGTTGCAAATTTCCCCCGATCGTAGCATCCACGTCACGAGACACAGCACCCATTCGCATCTCTCGCAGAAAAATTCATCCCTTCGATTCGAACCCAGGATCTCGAGCCGCCAGCTCACCCGCTCTCTGACCCTCCGAGCCGCGCTTGGTTAAACAATTTTTTTTCAAACGCCAAGAGAGAAAGAGAGCAATGCAATGTTCGCTCCGCGTCGAGTCGACGCTCCCTGTAACGACGGTCGCCCGACATTTGCCGTTGCAGCGCTCCGCCTCCGAGGAATCCTTCTCGCCCCTGGGTGGAGACCTCCGAATCGACACCATCGAGAAGCTGTTCAGTGTGTCTCCGGAGACGAAGGCCCTACCGCCCACACAGGTCCTCACAGCATCCCCAGAGCATTCACTCCCAAAGGCAGGTCCATGGCTCGAGCTCGCCTCCATCCCACGTGATCCTTCTCCCTCCCTCCCTCTCTCTCTCTTGACCTCGCATCAACATTGCACTCTCCACACGAGGGTTCTTCAACTATTGCAAGGGAAATTATTTGGTGACGCCTCCGCTTCTGCTGCCGCTGCCGCGTTGGCGGCGGTGCAAAACAAATACAACCTCAACACGTTCGTCAATAACACCCTGTGGCATTAAAAGGAAACAGATACGATAGGGTGACGTTTCGGGGAATGGCCCTTCTTCATGGCAAGCGGTACACCAAAGGGCAGCAATACATCAGCCCCATCCGCAAGTCGCAATGCGACAGATATCAAGCGTTATTTCCAGCGGGTGCACAAAAGGGTGCACGTTTGGACAACGTGAAGAAAGCGAGGATGAGGATGGCACTCAAATCATCGTCTGTCTATTGCGACGAACGGAACGGCAGCTGCGGTAGCGAGACAGTGACGAAGGCTCCGCCGAAGCCAGCCCATTGAGAATTTAATGACTGCACGTTTTGAATGTATGAAAAGCGTATACGTGTATATTAGGAAGTTTAAATTTGGCTTGCGGTATTTATGTTCTGTTTCTCTTGGCTTGCCGGCAGGAATTTGGCAGCGATCTAGACCTTGAGACGGTGGCTCCGTACATCCCCATGGACGGCGAGGACTTCCTCCTCTGCATTCCGGAGTCCGCTCCGGGTTTTTACTCCGACTCCCCACTCCCCAAGAGCCCCCCGGGGGCCACGGGCCCACCTGGAACTCCGGCTACACCCCGCCACCTGCACTCCGGCATCTTTCAGCCCCCCGAGGTACCGCATCCTGGGATGCCGCGATGCGGGTCGATACCTACAATTCATATTGTACACCACAAAGTCAACGATAAATCACGTCATCGTTTTTTTTGTTGTTGTAAAATACCATTGTGCAGCGAATACCGCGGTTCGCGTTGTTTGTTTTTTCACGTTTTATTTATTAACGAAATATTTCCGAGCGAACAAGAGCACAGTTGTTAAAGTTTTAAATAAATAGCAGGAGTACGCCACGCCCGCCGGCGTCACGCTCTTAAGCTTCTGCCAAATTTGAAAATTGCCCGCAAATTGCTGAAATCGGGAATAGCTACGTGAGCAGCATTGTCGCTTCCTCCTGTGAAAACTTACAGCAGACAACAGTTGGTCTGTGAAACAAGGGCGCATTCGTCATAGCCGTGTGCTATGACGAATGGCACAAATACAAATGTGCACACGATTGGAATTGATGATTTCAGCCGTTAAATTGGCGCTTCGCGATAAATGATGCGATGTGGGGGTTAGTTGACCGCGACGTTCTCCTGATTCGTCTGACTATTTCATTATCTCCTGCGTTGCCGAGAGCCTGTTTGTTGTGAGCACTAAAGGTTATAATGATTATAAAGACTTATAGCGGGAGTTGGAGCGGTTAGCGCGCGCTGCGCTATGATCCCGGCGACCCGAGCGTGATTCCCGCTCATGGCCAGTAACGGCGACGGTTATTTGAAACGGTCCTGGGCCTTCCCTAGGTCGACTCAGACTCAAAATGACTACCTGGTGCATTGTGTAAACATAGCTACTGGGGAGACAAAAGCGGCCGAGCGTGGTGCTGACTACTCATCCCCCTCGTGTGCCATTCCGGCCTTCATAGGTACTCGCTCACAGCAATGATCTGTTAAGGCAATATGGGGAGGGGGGTCCCTTTGTATCTTTGTTGTGTTACCCACTAAAGGGTATTGACAGTGCTGTTTCACCCTCGGTAGAGGTGGACGCACTGTGACCTCTGTTCTCATGGTTTGTCACGAATGCAATTTGTACGTGCGAGGTTCGATGGCTGGATCTTTTAAGACTGACGGTGATGCCTTGGGTGTGGGGCCATTCAACCAGCACAGATCCTCATGTCTCCCCCACCTCCTTCTCATACCTTCCCCCTCCCTCTTCTCCTTATCTTCCCCCCTCTCGACACTCTATTGGGTTGTTATCTGATACGGGGGTTGTTATCTGATATGGGAGTTGTTATCTGACATGTTACCATAATTTGCTACTCGTTCCGAGCGCGACTCCGCGAATATTACAGTGGGAGTGAAGATGCGAAATTTTTAATCAACGTTTAAAATACAGACCTCTTCATTGTGTTTGTAAACCGGGTGTTCGGCGCACTTTTTATTTTGATGTTGCGCTAAAACATGTATTTATTATTATTCAATGCACGCGTGCGTGTGTGCGCGGCCACTTTACTCCGCGCAGTTCCAGCAACCGCTTCGGACCCTGGCCGCCCGCTCTCCAATTTCCCAGCATGCACCGCTTCCCGAGATCAGCTTCCGCCTGGACGAGTTCGGGGTGTTCGGCCTCAACCGCCTGGAGGAGACGCGGCACGGCAAGAGCCCTCCTTCCCCCGCCACGGCGGCCGGCGCCGCCGCCACCGCGCCGAGCGCGTGGGTCCCGTCGACCCTCACGGCCAAGAGACCCAAGTTGGATTCCCCCCGCGCGGCCGTGCCTCCCCGCATGGGAGCGAACGCCCCATCGCGGATGCTGCCCCTGGCCTACCCAGCGCCGCACCAGCAGCAGCACCAGCAGCAGCAGGCGTACGCTCCAAGGTGAAGCGGCGATTTGTGCTTTCGTGAGGGTGTTGGTCACGGGAGTGGTTTGCTCCGGTGCCGGAAAGGATTCAACGATGCATATCAATAAAACGCCTAGGTTTTTCGCGGGAAATATTACGATTGGTAATCGATTTTGGGGTTAGGTCATGTAACGAGCTGGCCCAATTTTGTGTCGTAAGACCCTCCCAACATCTGACATTTTATTCTGTATTACCTGCAGATGCTTTGGTGCAGCCGGGCAATGTTTTGTGCCTGCGCTCAGCAACCGTGATAACAAACAAAACAAAAAAAACCACACCACATCTCTTTCTGTGCATGCAGGCCGAGTGACGGTGCCCACTACGTGGAGATGCCGGGGTCCCTGGCTCGGTTCTCCGGCCCCTTCATGGCCCACGTCGTGGCGGCCACCGCCGCCGCGTCGTGCCGCAAGCGTCGGCTGAGCAACGAGGGAGCCGTGTCGCCGATGAACCTCGCCACCTACGCCCAGCAGCCCGGCCTCGTGCGTGTGCCGCCACACTGCTCCGATCGTTAGCGTAATCTCCTGCGCAGGCTTTCGCAGTTGCGCCTGCGCTGCTCCCACCCGATGTGCTTCCGGTTTCGTGCCGCGTGCGGTATGCGCGTAGAATTTCTTCCGCACCGTACGTAGCCAGGCCGTGCTCATCGGAGGCACGTTGTGCCACGTGTTGTTCGATGTGGGACGGTTTACTCCACGCGATTGAGCAATGCGTGGTACAATCCCGGAAACGCAGCGGGTGTGGAAAAACGAATTCCGATTCATTTAGACAGGAGGAATCCGATGAGCTATGAGGCTCATTTTAACAGATGTCGCCGAGTGGTCTGTAGCGCAGTCCGCGAACCACTGTGCTACGGACTTGGCCCGATCATGGCCAACCTCGGTTAGCGAGCAAGTTGTGCCAGAATGTGTCCCTGGCCTCTCCGAGGTTGACGAAGCCTTAAATAAGTTTCTGGTGTGGTGGGCTAAATCATTATTACGGGATCTGGCCACAACACCCCATTGTTGTACCATGTCGACCTTAATAGGTGCTCGCTAACAGCATTTGCCCCAGCGGTATGCGTAGGTTCTGCAGGGATCGTCGATTTGGAATTGTGCTCCTGTGATTCAGACAATGCTATGGTCTCGGCGTTCTGCATCCAATCCCTAGCCATGCCCAATGCTCTGGGTGTCCCTCGATAGATTGAAAACTCATTTCTTTAGAACTGCTTTTTGTGTTTAGTTTGTCGTCCTCCCCCCCCCCGCACCTCTGATTAGCACGGTTGGCTACTTTACGGTGCCAAAGAAGTTCAACGTACGTACTAATAACCACGGCAACCGGTATCCGAATTGCTCCCCCAATGCCGAGACTTCCCTTCCTCCGCCGCTCTGCGTCTCCACAGGGTGCTTCGCTCGCCGTACAGCCCGAGCCATACGCCGGGAGGGCGTGCGGACTCCCCGCCCACGGGGACTCGCGCTGGAGCGGAGACTGTGCCACCGACAAACTCGCCGGCCCTGGCAGGGGCCGCCAGGCCCTCTGCCGCAAACCCGCCACAGGTTCGGCAGCCTCCCTCCCTCCCTCCCTCCCTCCCTCCCTCCCTCCCTCCCTCCCCTCCCTCCCTCCCTCCCTCCCTCCCTCCCTCCCTCCCTCCCTCCCTCCCTCCCTCCCTCCCTCCCTCCCTCCTCCCTCCCTCCCTCCCTCCCTCCCTCCCTCCCTCCCTCCCTCCCTCCCTCCCTCCCTCCCTCCCTCCCTCCCAATGATTGTACACAAGGAAAGGGGGGAACGGTTAGGAGTAGGAGAGATTGAGAGCGGAGCGGGCGCGAGGGCACAACGAACGAGACGAGGGAAGCGAGGTACGGTGGGGCAAGGCCACGAAGAGATTGAGATACCAGCGTATCGTCGCGGACCTTGCGGCCGATCCTTCGACGAGAGGCGCGAGCGTGATGACGAGTGACAAATCACCGCGCTTTCCCCGTGCGCAGACGTGGCGAGCCGGCTGCTGGCCGGCGGGAGCTCGCTGCCCGAGCTGACGCGCTACGACTGCGAGGTGAACGCCCCCGTCGTCGACTGCCGCCGCCTGCTTCAGGGCGTCGAGCTCCTGCGCGCCCTGGACCAGACGACGTAAACGGGCATGGGCACGAGCAAAACGATGACGACGAGGACCGCCGTCGGAGCGCTCCTCGGCCTTACTCTGCCTTCCCCCCCACCCCGCCGCCCACCCCCGCCCCCGCCCCTTCCCACCGGTGTCACCTGGGCGGTCGGCCGAGACGACCGCGGCTCGACGTCCCCGTAGATCGTTCTCCCCACACGCGGCCCAGCTTGGCCTCCGTGCCCGGCCATGCGTTACGCACCAAGAAGGGGTGGTGTGGCCGGAGGGCTGACGCCCGGCCGGCGCTACGCGCGGCCAGTCTGTGCGGCTGTCGGGGCGCATCGTGATCTCGAATTTGAAGCTGGGCGTGCTGCGCTTGGGTATGTCACGAACTTGGCTGAAAGTTGAGAGCGCCGCACATAGAGGTTGAGATTGAACGGCAGACGGGGGCAGCACGCTAATAGAGCCTCTTTGGTTTCATTGGTGGCTTCTACTTTCTCAGATATACGCTCTCTCTCTCTCTTTATTTGTATATGTACGTGTCCGTGTGTGTGTGTGTGCCTGCAGTGGCATTTTGTTGTTTGCGCAAACCTTTTAAGAGGGTATGGTGTGGCTATCATCAAGTCCGACCAGAACGTGCCTCAACAGTCCTGTACGGCTACGGGGGAGAACCTTGTCTTTGTAGCGGCATGTCACTATTAAGCCCTCCCTATTTTGCGGCTGTTCTTATCTGGAGATCAGCTGCTGGGGTCTCGTAAACAGCTCCGAGATGCCTGCAGCCAGGCACACATCTGCAGTGGCGCACGAGTCAAAAAGATGCCTGCCGCTGCAATTGTTTATTCCAGCCGCGTATATTATTTTTTGGAGTCGCGTTTTAAGATGAATGGGCGGGAAGCTGGGAGCCACTCTCGCGTTGTCCTCTAAACGATTCGTTATTTCAGAGGGGCTCGCAGGGCCGAATTTAGGCACACGGTTCACTATGAAGTGGATGCCACCAAGATTAGATGCAAGTGGGGACCGTATTTTGTAAAAGATAAGGGCGATTAGCTCACGGGGTTGAGGTTGGTTTTGTGACCGCTATTTAGTTTAGCGGGCAGAGCATCGGATCGTGTGCTATAAATCACTGACGATGAGCGGCTGCTCTCCGTTATTGCCGTACCGAAGCATCCAAAACGATGTGTTACGTTTGAATTCTGGTGGTGGTGTCCATTCTTGATGTTCCCTACAGAAGTGAACTGCATGAACGAGTTGCGTAGCGATTGAACGTTTTTATGGAGATGAATTCTTAAAATGTAAAAGGAGAGGGCAGTTTTGGTAACTTTCGCTGACATAGCACAGTATCTGAAGACGTTTGGACAAAAGTAAAAATATATATAAATTTGATATAAACACAAAATGAGCCCGTTACTTTTTGTGGTTGCAATGTATTGAGGAATGCAAGCGGCAGCAATGGCACAGTTGCATTGACCTTGCTTCCATCAGACATTTAGTGCAATTGAGAAAACAAATATCCCTACTCCAAAGTATTTATCTTTTTTTGTGTTTGTCTCATAAATATCGCTACATCGTCCATGTATTTGTAAAAAAAAGAGAAAACGAACGATAGGAGAATAAATTTTCACTTAAAACTTTCGTGACTGCAGGAATTCATATTCTTGGTTCTTTCGGGAAAGTCATGTAAATAGAAGAAAAAAAATCACATTTTTATAATAAAATAAAAATTATAAAATAAAATACAAATTATAAAATATAAATTGAAAATAATTAAAGCAAAAAACCCACGACGTTTCGATCGCAACACAAGCGGTCTTCATCAGGCGGAGACCGCTTGTGTTGCAATCGAAATGTCGTGGGTTTTTGCTTTTATTATTTTCAATTTAATCATTTTTATTTTATTTTAAAAAATGTTGTTTTCTATTTACGTGACTTTACCGAAAGTACCAAGAATATGGATACAATAATAATAAGAATACCACTGATGAAAAATATAAATGTTTAAATTCAGCGGTTCATGCACCATGCATACTTGTGAATACTTTAACGAACTGAAAAAGTTAACTTTAGAATGTACATTATTTCATCCCTAACATTTTCAGGAAAAAAATACAATATTTGTAATGCACCTTCGATGTAGGTTTCCACTCCACGTTGAACGCAAAGATTTATATAAAAAAAATTACAAAACGTGGAAATGTTATTTTTAGCACAAAAATTATATAAAAATCGTAGTGGTTAATCCCAGATTATTTGCACATAACCTTGGTGCTTTTGGCGAATTACATATTTCGTGTTCTTCAGGAATAACGGTGTTCCTATACACACACAACACATTTTGTACAATGAAGCATATATACAATAGCTATTGACAAATATTACACAGGTAACTGGTTGTGTGCCTTGTGTCTGATTATTGTAATAACATTACTTAAAAAAACAATTAGCTTTCCAGGAATCAGTGTTTCATTGTTTCAGCAGCACATTCAAAGAGATCCATATAAATGGTATTTTGATGCATGATGGTGATAAATTCCCTTCAAAGTACATTTTATTTCTACATTAGCGATTATAAAACAAAGAACCCATAATGATACTACAATGTATCTATAATGGCGCGAAATGTTTTTTTATATATATAAATTTCTTCACACAAGCCGAATTTTTACCAAGTGCCTGAAAAAACGCATCTCTTTCCGTGCAGAATGAATATCCTGCACCTGATTGTAACAGCTAACGGGCCAATGCAACTCCGTTCTCAGTGGGATGGAAAAATAAATTCCGTTCTGGGTTTTCTAACGTGACAGTGCAGCCTATGTGCAGGCTGCAAAATATGTAACGGTCTTTTGTTTAACCCCTTTTTCCATTGGCCCACCTGAGTCACGTTGGTTCACCGTGTCCCGCCGACAACAGGGGTCGGCATTGGCATCCGCACGCACACGCGCATACACGGCAGGAATTTCATCAAGAGTGGCCTTTGACCTGCCTTGCCTTAAGGGTTCACCAAGAAAATTGCCACGGCTCCAGATCCGGTTGAGCAGCGATCTCCGCTTCAGGTTTTAAAGCCCAAGAATCAAGGCAGCTTCCTCGGAGGACAGATCTGGCAAGAGCTCAGACAATTCCATTTTGGCGTATTGAGCATTATACCTCTGCTTTCCTATCGTACCCGATTGATCAGCTGTTCTTGTCGTCTGTGATTGTAAAAAAAAAAAACCTGGGGTGGAGCTTTCTAGAACTGTAGCCACGGCAGATCCCTGGGTAAACTGTGACTATACTAGAGAGACACTGGGTACATGTCCGCGGATTATTCTTATTTTGACATTTTCCGAGTGCAGGCTGGTGCCACTGGCCAAGGATGGTGGGTGGATTCAACGCCCTTATCAGCCACGATCTGCTTACTGTAGACGAACGCCTCCCAGAGCCGTCGCCACCTCTCACGGTCTTGCAAAGCAACAATCCCTCGAGCTCTTGCACACCGACTGATTTCATTGTTCCATCGCCGCAGTCGTCGTCCCCTTCGGCGTGTTGTTGTAGCCGAAAGGCACTTTCGCTCTGATGCAGTGTAGGAGTACAAATTCAACTGATGTAACGTCAGTAAATCATTCGCGATAAATAACAGTTTAACGGATAAACCAAATACAAACATGTTGTGGCAGTTTTGATTTAAAGCTTTCGTGACTGCAGGGATTCATATTCTTGGTTCTTTCGGTAAAATCACGTGACTTTACCGAAAGAACCAAGAATAAGAACATGTTGTGGCAGTTTGAGTAAAAGTAGATTGCAATGTCTCAGCCGACCGACCGTCAGAAAGAATAGCATTAATAGAACGCATTGGTAAACATATTATTAATGACTGTGGACATCTTTATAGGAGGGCAGTCTACCATGTTTGAAAAACCTTCAGCTATAGTTGGACCTGCCACAACATGAGAACACTTGTACAGCCATGACTGGACACACACTACATGTTGGTGTTAGGGTTAACCTGATGAACCCCACAATCTAGCTGTAACCAAATCACCCTCGAAATCCCCCAATCTCATCAGATCTGATAAGCTAATAGGGCTTCAGCCTGGCTAGTGCTTGGATGGGTGACCACCAGGGCTTGCCAGGGGTTGTAGTCGTGAGGCTGCGAGGTGACCACGAGAGAGGAGCGTGGGTTTGTCTGTGGGCAATTCAGTTTTCTTCACACATAAAGAAAACCACTTAATTTTTGGAATTGATCAAACATCCCAATGCAGGATGCTTCTGAATACTAATATTGAGACAGAGTGAGGCTTTCCTGGGAAATAATTGTTAATTATATTGATTGTTAAAAGCTGAGATTAACTGCTGCCAGGTGTTTCAACAACACTCGCCAATCACGGCAAGACATTTCAAAAGAAGCGCAACAACGTGGGTGTTTTGTAGAGTAAATTTGATGTGGTCACGTTAAGGTTGAATTTCTATTCGTACAATGCTTTGATCGAATGTCTAGAAAAGCCTTTTAACGAATGTGTGAAGTCAGGTGGTCTATGAATTTGTGCTACTGTTTTAGTTTTTTATTTAAATGTTGAACTTTACTCTGCCTCTAACCACTGTCCACAGAGGCTTTGCTAACTCGCACAATAGTTTGTTTTGAATGAATACATGCGTACCTTATAAAAAAAACTGTTGCAATTAAAAAAAAGTATCTTTATATACACAAATATATTACGAAAACACACTATTTTAGAAAGTAGACTTAGATATGCAGGGTATTTTCTACTACGTCTTGTATTCATTTTATTTTATTTAAGCTCACCACTGTATCATCGGGTGTCCTCGCATCGGAAAGCCAAAGGAATGTGATGTAGACTCACATAATCTCGCACACACCTGTAGGCTGGTGAGAACCTGGTTGTAATTTCACAAGAGACGCGTTACAATGGGGCCTAATCCAAGTTGTCGAATGCACAAGCAACCTTACATGTAACTGCCTTACAACTCGAATGGGTCAGTTGGAAAAGATAGGATTTAAAAAAATATTTTCTTTGGTGTATTTTTTTATTTTCCTGAACGTCTATCGAAGCTTATTAACATGTGACTTGTAGTAACGTTAATGCGTGTGTCTAAAGTCAAAATTCAGAATGCCCATTCTCAAAATAATGTGGAATCATTCCCAAACAAACTGCTAAAACCCTGAATCGGTGATGGGAATCCCGCGTATGATGTGCATGGCGAGGACTATAGGGGCCACGTTAATATCTCGAGGACATGGCTGATTAAAAAAAAATCCTTCATTGTTGGTAATGGACACATCAGAATATTTCCACGACAAATATATTAATAATAATTTACATCCGTAAGGCGCATTTCATCCAAGGATTCCAATGTGCCATGTATGGAAAGCAGGGAAAGATGACAGAGCCAGCGTAAATGACCAAAACTATGGGGGGAAAGGCAATTTTAAAGAGGTGAGCTTTCAGGGCAGATTTAAATAGCTAGAAAGATCCTGTTTAGTCTCATTATCAGAGGCAACGCGTTCCATAGTCTTGGAGCTGCACTGGCAAAAGCCCGATGACCCCCAGGAACGAAGCCTTAACCTCGGAATATTAAGAAGATCAGAAGATCTCAAGGACCTCATTGGTGTATAATATGACTGACAAGAGGAGAATGTGGCCCTAGGTATGATGAGCCATGTTCCCCACTGATTTTCATAATTTGGGGTTACAATTCAATTCAAGAATAAACTTCGTGGGTTTTTTGTTTGTTTTCTAAACCGTCTTTCGAAGCTTTTAAAATGTAATTGTAGTCATTTTAGTGCATGCGCTTAAAGTAAAAAGTCAAGAGCCCCCATTGTCACAATTGGCACTGTTGGTGTCAATTAGTTCCATCCATTCCAGAAGCCTGAGCCAGTGATGTTTTGTAGAAGTTTAGGGGACAAAGGGGTCATTTTCACATCCTTAGCTGACATCATTCTCATGACTGACCCCATCGTCGGTGGTAATGGTCGCATTGGCACTTTGTGTGCAAATCTGGTGAAAGTGAACATGCGTCGGGATGAGAATCTTGTCCAAGGCATGTGATGGTTAATGCCCTCGGCGATTCCATGAATTGTCACGATGCGGAAACGCAACTCATTTCCACAGCAGATCATTTAAATAATCGATGTGTCTAATGTATGAATTTATTATGGTCACGAGAGGTGCATTGCTTTGTGAGCATACAACCGATTTATCATGACTTTGGTAAATGATATGCTAACGATTTGCTGATGGTACATTTAGGCTAATAGAGTGAAGAATACTACAAGTAAAGAGGTGAATATGAGAAACTATACAAAAGAGTTGGAAATAAGAGACGAAAGAATCCATCCTTGAATTGAACTGCAAAGCCTAATCATGACAGTTGATCAAATTGCTGTGCAAGTACATCGTTACAAGTTTACTGAATACATGTTTCAGTCATAAGGCAGTGTTTGTCCTTTACTTGTTTTAATCCAGGTATCCCGTGATCTAATCTCACTGGGGTAATCTTAATGGGATCTCACCTTGTTTAAAATAAAGCACACGGATTAAATGAATGTATATTAATAACGTTGGTGGAAAAAAGTGTTTTAAACCTGTGATTATTGCCTATTA